ATGAAAGACAGTTGCGGTACCTGTATGGGGCTTATCCACTATCCATGTCGTGGTTGACTCCTGCGGGCTATTCTGAGTGGGATCGCTATTCGTCCCGCTCTGTTCATAGGTCGAGGTCTCCTCACAAGTCGAAATCTTCAGCATCTCTGTCACGTTCTCCTGTAGTAGAACCATCACACCATGCCGTGGAACCAAGCCTTCCTATTAACCCTCCCGTCACTCCAAAACCTGTTGTTCCTGTCGTCCGAACTAAACCTGTAGTCTGTCAACAAGACACCTCAGTCCACACGGCACAACACGATTCTTCTGATTTCATTGAGGAGGACTCAGATACGGAGGCTTCTGAGGCTCACAGCTCTCCTGACCATGCATCTCCAAATCAGGATGTTGCGGAGGATTTACCTGTATCTCCATCTGACAACCTCACTTCGTACACTGATCTAGTAAAAAGAATGGCCCACTCTTTAGGCCTCTCTGTCGTCCAACAACATCTGCAAGCAACGGATTCAGTTTACAATATAGTTCAGCTGGATACATCTTCCACCTTGACTTTGCCTATGTCCTTGGTTCTTTTACAGGCAGCAAAGTCTCCATGACTCGAACCTTCATCCACTCCTGTTTCAACAAGAAAGCTTGACCGCATGTACAGGGTCCAAGAGTCAGAGTCCGAGTTTCTATTCTCACACCCTCAGCCAAACTCCATGGTTATAACATCTTCCTCCAAATCTAAGAAAATGCATTCAACACCTTCTGATAAGGAAGCTAAAAAATTAGATGCATTCAGCAGGCGTTTCTATTCCACAGGGGCATTGGGAGTCAAGGCCACTAACTACCTGGCCTGTATGAACCAGTATCAGTATACTCTCTGGGAATGGTTCTCAGCGCTTCTCAGCCATCTCCCAGACGATAAACTTCAAGCAGCCAGACTCTTACAAAAGGAAGGCATGGTGTTAGCAAAACAACAGCTTAACACTACCAAACATGTCCTCGAGGCATCTTCAAGAACCATGGCCTCTGCAATAGCTCTCAGAAGACATTCCTGGCTTCGCAACACTATCTCCCATTAGACACCAGATCTTATGTGGAAGACCTCCCCTTCGATGGCCTAGGGTTTTTCAATGCAGCAACTGACTCTACTCTACAAGAGTTGGATAAGAGCATTAAGGCGTCTTGAGCGCTAGGAGTCTCATCCTCTGCGAGGCAACAATACCGTCTCCGCACCTGGTCCAGGTCCTGGCAGAGACGCACCCCGGACACAAGGTGGAGACCAAGAACGTCTTCGGGAGGCCAAAAACCCGCCTACCAAAAGCCAAAGTTCGGTTCCGGACAACAAGTTTCCTGCACAAAACAGCCCAGGCCCTCCAAGCAGGGTTTTTGACTTTCCTGTCACCGAGTCAGCTCATACCCGTCTCTTTCCTTTTATCCATGCCTGGCATTTCATCACCTCAGACGAGTGGGTTACAAAATTCAGTTCCATCAGAACCGCAATACTCCGGTCGTAGACTCCACGCCCCCTTCCCCACCTCTCCTCGAGGAGGTGTCCGTCCTTCTGCCGAAGGGAGCCATCAAACGTGAACCACCACAGCTCCAGGGGATGGGATTTTACTCCCGATACTTAACAGTCCCGAAGAGAGATGGAGGCGTTCGACCCATATTAGATCTCAGGGAACTGAACCGTTTTGTGACCTACCACCGCTTCCGCATGGTCTCCCTAAAACAGATCATGCCACTGCTTCGCAGACACGTCTGGATGGCCACCCTAGACCTCCAGGACGCATATTTCCACCTCACTATCCACCCCTTCCACCGCCAATACCCACGCTTTGCAATTGGCCAACATCACTATCAATATACAGCCCTACCATTCGGCCTTTCCAGTGCCCCGAGAGTTTTCACAAAGACTATGATTGTGGTTGCAGCTTTCCTACGTCTCCGAGGGGTTGGCTTCTGGTGGCTCCTTCACAACACGCCCTGGTCTCGAACGTAACAGAAACTCTGTCACTACTGGACAACCTGGGCCTAAGGGTCAATCAACAAAAGTCTCACCTGTGTCCTGTCCAGTGAATAAAATACATCGGCGCTATCCTGGACTCAAACACATGCATGCCTTACCTACCTCCATACAGGGCCGCAGACATCATTTCCCTAGCCACCGTCATCCATACCCAACCCTCCATCACCGCCTTCCAAATCCAGAGGCTGCTCGGTCTTATAGCTGCAACTACGTCAGTTCTCATCTTTGCAAGACTCAAAATGCGTCCCTTACAACGATGGTTCATTCGCAACTATGACCTGACGAAGACTGCACACACTGTCATCCTATCCCCTCTTCCCACCATATAGGACTGTCCCTTTGAATCTCCTTCAGGGAGCGCCCTTCCACCCTCCGTCACCCGAGGCCACCATCACGACCGATGCTTCCCTGACGGGGTGGGATGCACACTGCATGCGCCTTTCTGTTGAAGACAAGTGGAACACACATATGAGGAACTGACACATAAACTTCCTCGAACTCCTGTAACCAGTTTCCTCCCCTTAATCAAGGGAAAATGTGTCAACGGTCCTAATGGACAACACCACAGCGGTATCCTCGACACATCTTTACCTGTTTCCTCCCTTATCTCTGCTTCTGAGAGTGGTCCGCAAGATACTCAAGGACAACGCGAACTGTATCCTAATAACACCATGGTGGCCAAGACAGCCTTGGTTTTCAACAGTCCTCGAGCTGTCCCGGGGGATATACCATCAGTTCCCCCCGGCCCTGAACCTACTCCTTCTCTCAGACTCCCCCGTCCTACATCACAACATACCTCAGTTGAAACTGATGGCATGGCAGATACCATCACAGGCTTCTCCTTACGTGTAGTGAGCGTCCTTTTAAATTCCAGGAAGCCCACTACTCGGTAGTCCTACGACTATAAATGGAGAACATTCTGTTCTTTTCTGGGTGATGACGCCCCTCGAGCCACCTCAGCTGGCCTCGAATGTTTTCCGTTTCCTTCTCTCCTTAGCTGACTCGGGGCTTTCTCACTCTTTGTTAAGAGTTTACTTAGCCGCTCTGTCGGCTTTTCATGTTCCAGTTGACGGATGTACTTTGTTTGCACATCCAATTTCCAAACGTTTTTTAAAAGGTTTGCTTCACCTTTATCCTCCTGTCAAAACTCCAGTCGCTCCATGGGACCTTCCTCTAGTTCTACGCCAGCTCACGAGGAAGCCCTTCAAGCCACTCGCAACATGCGAACTCAAACTCCTAGCGTGGAAAACGGCCTTTTTAATTGTCATTACCTCGGCCAGGCGAGTGGGAGAAATATTGGCTTTCCGGCATGATACACCTTACCTGTCCTTTCTGCCAGATGGAGTCCGCCTCGTCCCGGACATCTCCTTCCTGCCGAAGGTAGTGTCAGAGTTCCACCTGTAGGCGGAGGTCTTCCTCCCTGACTTCTTCCCAAATCCAACATCAGAGGAAGACAAACTACTCCACACCTTGGACGTGAAGCGGGCTCTCCTGTTCTATCTCACCAGAACGCGCCCAACTAGATGAGAATCACAACTGTTCGTCTCGTACGCTTCACCGCGCCTGGGCACTCACATCACGGCTCAGCGCCTGTCAAAGTGGATTGTAGGTCTAATCCACCTATGTTACCTACTCGCCAAACAGCCATTTCCTGGCCCTATCAGGGCTCATTCTACCAGGGCTGTCGCGACTTCCACTGCCTTCCTCCAGGAAGTACCACTGCAAGACATTTGCAAAGCCGCTAAGTGGGCCACGCCTAACACTTTCATCAGGCACTATGCCCTAGACATCCGTACCCCCACCAGTAACAACATGGGACGTCACATTTTGTCCTCGGCTACACAGTAAAAGACCTGCCAGCACCCTCCTCCAGGTAGGCTACTGCTCGCTAATCTCCCATTGGTGTGAAGCACAGAGACCACGACAAAGATAAGCAGGTTGCTTACCAGTAACTGGTGATCTTCGAGTGGTCATCTGTGCATTCACACCACCCGCCCTCCTTCCCCACTGTTGTCAGCTTCTACATTTTTTGTGGGGGTTGATTTGCGGCAGTTTGTAGGAACTGGCGGGATGTCCGCGCCCACCCCTCTGGGCATGACCACTCAAAGATCACCAGTTACTGGTAAGCAACCTGCTTATTTATCCACTGTATAAAAATTACCTCGCGAAGTACAATATAAAATATAGTTTCAGTATCAATATAATTCATTCCGCTTGTAGCATAAACCATTAATTTCAACGTTGCTTGAAAGCATATCAAACAGTAACAGTTACATTTCATTCTCACCACAATTCTGAATATATGTTGTAACGCAAGTTCCCAAGGTCTGTTTAACTCGATTTCAGCTACTTGCTTGAAAGCATATCAGACGGCAGTAAAGTTTTATCTCATTCTCTCCACAATGTTGAATATCTGTTGCAGTTTCGATCCCCAGAGTCTCTGTATATGAGCTTTCCAAATGAGATGGTCCAACAATTATGCTCCATATATTTACAAACTCAATTCCAGCCTGACAGATTGGCTAGCTCCTTTCTGTTTTGTAATTGGTTTCTTTTTCAAAGGTGGAACTGTTCCTCATCTGTAAACACTCAAGCAGAAAAATTCTTATCTGCACTCACGTTTCACCAAACATTTCTTCTGAAAGTTCCCTAAGGTGGGTAGTTGGCTAAAAAAACTCTTTAAATAAATAAAATTAAGTACTGCTTTCTAAAAGCAGTTACTTCCATGGCTAATATGTCTGAGTTGGAAGTACTCAATTACCGAAAGCAAAACATCATCAATATTCATTTGAAAATCTGCATAAGGAGATTTGTCTGTACGTTGGGTTGTGTTCTTTTAGGTCTTCTTGACTGAGACCAAACCTATCTCATTTCTTGCAGCTCTTAAGCTATTTTAGCTAACAGAAGATATTAAAATAAGGCTTCATGGATATATGTCTTCCTTTTAACTTAAATCTCATCGCTGTCAAAAAAAAACCCTCTTTAGGTACTGCTTACATCTGATAAAGCTGCTGCCAACTTCTCAGACCGTTCTCTGCTGAAGAACTTGGGTCACTGGTTGGGGATGATCACGCTGGCGAAGAACAAGCCCATCTTGCACACGGTAAGGCTGATTGGAGTGGGAGCTGATATTGTGAAGGTGAAAATTTTAGCCTATCCCTACACACATTATTTTTTTTTGTTTGGGTATACCAAACACGAAAATATTAGTATGTACTGGTATTCCCAAATACCAATATGGGTATGATATTGGGATTTTCTAAATAATCGGTATTCATCATCGTGGCTTCTGTGCAGTCCCACATGGGATCTGCGCAGGCGCAGGCCAGCCACGGAAAAGATTTGCAAGCTTTCTAATAGACTAGGAGTGCCCCTCCTCCCTCTGGCGCTTTCCCGCCAAAACGCTCACATGACCAGGAGGAGGGGCACTACTCCCTCAGTTCTCTTTTTGCCGCCACGGAGAGATCATCTCCACTGCTGTTCTCTGTGTTTTTTTCCTCACCTCAGTTTTGAGGCTGAGGAGATTTTTTATTCTCAACAGTTTTTTTTTATTCAAGTGAACAATGAAATACATCTAAAGAAGATCTTATTTTTATTTTTTATGTTTTTGTGTGGATTTCTACTGTGTCATTATGGCCTATTCCCCTCTGCTGAGGTGTGTGGACAAAGAGCCAGGCTGCGATGGCACTCTTAGGAGTTCACCTAGCCTGATGATGGCCTATTCCCCCTCTGCTGAGGTGTGTGGACAAAGAGCCAGGCTGCGATGGCACTCTTCTGGAGTTCGCCTAGCCTGATGATGGCCTATTCCCCCTCTGCTGAGGGTGTGGACAAAGAGCCAGGGCTGCGATGGCACTCTT